GTTAATGGACCGACTCTATAAAAATGAATTATAATTTTAAAATATGGCCAATCTTTTAGTTTCCTATATACAAATTTTATAAATTCTCTGTAAGAGTTGATACCAAATTTTACACCGTGTCATAAGCTATTAAAATTAAAACTAGGACCTACCCAAATGAAATTTAAATACTTTGTTGTGTTAAAATCTCGTGAAAATCATATTAATTAACAGCTTAAGAGTATGATGAAATGTATCATTCCTTTTGTATATAAATGAGAGTAAAATTGTGTCAGTAGATCATCTCAACCGTATTCCAGGAAGAAGTAAATGTAGGGGACTGTGGAGTTCATAAGTAATAAAATAGGTTGAAGAAAAGTTAAATAATCTCATAGATACCTTAAGAAATAAAACACGCTTTCTTAACATACCTATTACACCATATTTTCCCTAGTTTATCTGCGGAAAATAAAATTTACAATTATAATTATTAAACTTGTTATTTTAGTTGCAATCAGCCCCTATAAAATGATACGCCACTGCCCATGAGGGAATGTAAACACAACTTCCTCACCCTTCCGATGAACTATTTTGGCTTCAAGCCACATAGGTATAAATTATGTATCTATGTCTTTTCTTGATCTGTGGATAAAACAATCTTCTGTGACCCCGTGCCTGTGCATGCCCGAGGTAGTCTATGGTGTCTGTGAAAGTGACGTACTTAGTTCGAGAAGTAAAATTGCAAAACAAGTTTAATTTTGTGCATTTAGATATTACAAAACTTAAACGAGTTAATAAAGTATTTCTAACATTCTTTGTGTAACAGACATTTAGTTATTAATAATTAAAAGTAAGGGAAAATGCCGAAACCGCATTTCGAAAATAAACAGACGTGGATAAAACATGGTAAATGTGACATAGTTTTCTTATTTAGATATTAATAAATATTCATTCATTATTATGCATTATACATATTTTAGATCGTGAACGAGATAGAGATCGTAGAGTTACATTCAAACCAAATCGATTTGGAGGTCAAAAGAATCATAATAGAGATTGGAGTAATGCTATACGTGAACATTTACAAGATGAGGATGTTGATATGGGGGTTAGTTCTGGGTCTGGTAGAAATTTTATTAACAAGAAGTACAACAAGGGAAAGAAAGGGAGGAAAGGATCACCTATACCTAATAGTAGACGAAAATTATTAGAAGGTCCAACTAATTGGTATAAAGTTTCGGTAAGTACTTAATTATATAAGTATTATTAATATAAACAGTGCCAACACTGAAGCATAGTCAAAAGTCATGTCGCTAGATTAAATAGCCTAACAGTACAGTAGAACCTCGATAATCCGTCCCCTACGGGTCCAGGAGCATGGACGGAATGCAGAAAAGTTTTGGATTATTAGAGGAACATTTTTATTGACCCGTAACATCACGATACAGTACAGTATGTACATATAACTTTAATTTTCAACTGGAAATAGCATAGGTACTGTCTAAAATATTGTTCCATATTAAAACAATAACATCACGTGAAAGAAACAATGTAAGTGAAAGTATAAGAACTATATATACATACCTTATGTATAAATTACAGTATGTACATTATACTGCATTGACACACAACTGATTTGCTCTTAACTGTTTAAAACGTGAGAAATCATACGGTAAAAAATGTTCTGTTCTTAAGCAGGACAAAAAAGTGTGTAATGTTCTTTTGCTTAGCAGATGACAATGCGATCTTCCAGAAATGGAATGGTCAGACGAAGCAAGAAGTTGGACTATCCGAGATCCAATTAACGAGGTTCTACTATAATCCGTAAAAAGTCCCAAAATTAATTATGTGTATGTTTAAAACATTAAAATAAAAGTTATGTATTGTGTACATATATTTTGCTACTGAGCTATTTTGGGAAAAATTTTTGGTTTGTGAACTAATGATAACGTGGGAAACAACTACTTTACGTGCGGTGTTATTAACTTTATCGATACACAAATCCTTAGAGTCATGTGAAAACATCTGTAAAAGTTCATAACACAAAATCTGTAAAAAACCTGTAAAAATTCAACATGAAAGTCTTGGAAATTATTCATTGTCCTCCCCCTGAGGTTAACAACAATTGTTTAACTTAAAAATATGCTAAAATATTCTAGTTTGTAATGCTGGAACTAATAGTGATAAATAACTGTATTTTTTTAGCCGAGATATCAGTTAGTCTCATGTAGGTAATTGACCAAAAAGCATTCAGAATAGTTGAAATTAGCTGTGGTCTCAGATAAATAAAACATAGCTAATTTACCATTGATGTTATTAAAGATTGGTCCTGGATTTATTAGTTGCCACAAATTATAACTATGTATCAAATTGCTCCTCTTTGTGGTACTTTGTATTACACTTAAACTGGATAGCTTCCTAACTAGTGCTGGCAACTGAAATCGGTTTTTTGGATAGTCGGTTAACCGGTTTCGGATAATTCGGATTTTTATGAAACCCGAAAACCGGTTATTCGATTCTTCAAATATCCGATTATTCAAATAACCGATTTTTCAAAAATCTATTCAAACATTCGAATATTCAGATTCATTCTTTATAGCCAATAACTACATCACACCATAATATAGTCTTAGTGTTATGTAGTTATTGGCTACAGGCTACATAGTACATACATATTAGAAGGCACAGACTGATAAAAAAAAACAGTCACTCACACCCACATACACCAAACGACCAAATCCATTTATATAAATAATAAATTGAAGAATCACAGTAACAAGTGTAACTGTTTTAACATTTTAACTTTTAACATTAGATTTAACTTTAAAATTTAAAATATGTGATAATGTGAATAACATCGTATATCTCGTCAGTTTTACAAAGCACCGATTTTCAGATATCCGGTTTTGGCCATTATTCGAGTAACGGGTTATTCGAATAATCGATTTTAGAATATCCGGTTTTAGCAACTATTCGACTAACCGGTTTTATTTGAAATCGGTTTTTACGGAACCCGGTTAACCAGTTTAACTTTTTTCCGGTTTTTGCCAGCACTATTCCTAACTGTAGACAATGCCAGGAATTAAAAGCCCTTTTTTTTCAAATAGTATTCGCCACATTCTTATTTTTAACTGTTTAAGGGCCCGGTTCTACAATGCTAATATAAAGTTCCATATAGTTATTCTCCGAATATCTTATACTTCGAGTTATTCCAAGTATAACAGCATTTGCGTTCTACACTGCTCGTAGAACTTCAGTATAATTATATGAAGAACGATCGCTGAAAAACTCTGTAGTAGATACAGCGCTTTGATTTAGTTCAAGTGAACTGACAGAAAACAGAATAAAACGCGGGAAACATACAAAATAGGTGCGAATTATCTATCAGTTACTAGTTGTTACTACCTGTTCAGTATACAAGATTTAATTGTTAATAACGATTTTAGTTTAGAGTAGATATATTATGAATGCAATGGAAAAGAAAAGGTTTAACAATTTCAGTAAAGAGGAAATAGAAATGCTAATAGAGTTAGTGGAAAACTATAAAGAAGTTGTAGCTTCTTCTTCTTCTAGTGGTTGGTCCTAATAAGTCCCATAGCACTGCGGCCTGATTAGGCCTATTGTGTGTCCCACTACTAGTCCTATTCAGCAAGTAGATTTGTCCTTTTTACAAAGTCCAAAAGCTTCCTTGCTGACACTTCTCTCAGTTCCTTGGGTTCCAAATAGGGTCTCCCAAGGAGCGCCATTCTGCTACGTGCAAATCCCGGGCACTCGCCCAGGATATGCAGAGAAGTTTCATCCGCCGATTCACATCCTCGGCAGACCGGACTGTCTACAAGCTTTAGCTTATGTAGATGTTTC